TTCCCTCCTCCAGGTGGCAGCAGTAGCGCCAGTGGTCTCTGGGCCAAGAGAAGTTCACTGGCAAGGCCCATGAAGGTGCCCATAGCTCATTTCAGCTCCCTCCTTCAGGCGGGGCAGCTGTGCCATGCTCTACTGATTTAGAGATGGTTGCCAGAAAGGCCTGAGCAGGGTTAGCAGCCAAAGTCAGTGTTTAAATGCCACAGTGAATAAGTGAGAGTGGAATGACAAAGGAGGGAGACAAAAGACAAAAAAGGAAATAGAAAGAAATATTAAAGCAAAGTTTTGTAAATAAAAAGAGGAAGAGGAGTTGAAGGAGGGAAGGAGAGAGAGAAAATAAAGAAAAATCAAGATATGTCATGTGAAGTTACATATTCACTATGATTATGATTATCATTTTACATATCCAAAATGTGCAAAGATAATTAATTAGAATTTGCATTTAAAGAAACATAATGTTCCAGTAAAACATATCAGCATTAAAAAGTGTATTGCACATGTGTTAACACTCACTAAAAATTCTGTCAAGCTCGCCACCACCCTAAAAATAGAAAGTGAGATTTTCTATGTTAAAAGCCAAGCCTTTAAAAGCAATATCTATAGAAGTAATTATGAAAAATAATGAAATGATAATTTAGAAGTATAAAACACATCATTTAATGTAGCATGATAAATGAACTGAGATGAAATGGAAAAGTAAGATGCAATAATGCAACAAAGTAGGAGAAAATGAGCTATGTGAAATTTTTATATTCATTTACGTATGTATCATTATAACATGGAGATCATATAACAAATCACATACAGATGTGTTATTTATATGTAGAAAGTTGTGGAAAACATAGCTACATTTAAGCTTCCTCCTTTCATGTAGTTTATATTCTCCCATGGGAAAAATTCATGAATAAAATAGGTTCAGTTAATGCTAACAGCTACAAAGAAATTAAGTAACAGGTGATGTAATAAAGGTGCAGTATAAAGCAGTGTGTGTGTGTTTGTGTGTGTCTGTGTGTGTGTGTGTCTGTGTGTGTGTGTGCTGCAATGTGTTGGACTCTGTCAAGTGACCAAATTGGGGATGAGGAGTGAGCCAAGTCCTGAATATTTGCTCAATATTTCCAAGCAGGGGAACCAGCAATTAAGAGGCACAGGATGAGGTGGTCAGGCTCACTGCCTGGCTAAAAGGTATGTAGACTGACCAGCAAGCTACCTTTAGAGAGAGGGAGTAGGCAGTGCTCATCAGTCTTTGGGGATTGGAAACTAAGAAACAGGAAAAGAACTTTTACCTGGAAGAGGTGATTGAAGAGGCTGTGTGCAGACTAAAAGATCTGGATGATCAGAAAATAGAAGCAGGATAAGGAAGTCAGATTGGTGCTCCGTCTGGCATCTGACTGGATATCCAAATAATGATCCATGATATTTGGTTACTGATGAGGCTTCCGGGGCTGCTGGCAGACTGAGCAGACTGAGTCTCACCTGCAAGAAGTGCATCTTGCCAAGCACATGCGTTCCTCATTTTCCCTGAGTCTCAGTTAACTTTTCATGGTGCATCAAGTCAGTAAATATCTCCTTTTGCTCTTCAGCAAAATCTCTTGCCAAGATCTTGAACTTGATGAAAACAAGGACATATGTACCTGATTTGAAGCACTGCTTTTCCTTTTCTTAGTTGTGACTTTGAGGAATTATTTGTTGTCTCCCTCTTCTCCCTCCTCAGTATTTTAGCATGAACCCAAGCTTTTCTGCAGGCAAATGCTCTACTGCTGAGTGACTACCCCAGACAGGAATTATTCTATTTCTTCTTTATAATTAATTAATTGTCACTTGTTAGATATGCATGCTACTGTTCATTATATGGAATTTGTGCCTTTATGTGATGTAGTTTGATTCTTTCTTCCCTTTTCCTCCCTTCCATGCAGGTACTTTTCTCCTTATTTACAGAATCTTTGTTTCCATTTTACTTTGGAGTCTCCCCTTTTCTCTTCCTTCCCACCATTCCAACTCCACTTCTCATTTAAACATTTTCTTCCTGTTTTGCAATATCTACTACTTCTGCCCTTAATTACACTTTCAGTTTCTCATGCCAGATAAAACATGCACTATTTGAATACATGTGTCCAAGTAATTTCACTTCATAGGATGGTCTCAGTGTACATCCATTTAACTACAAATGGCTCAAGCTTACCCTTCTTTATGGTTGGACAATAATCCAATTTATATTTTCAAAAAATATATTCTGTGTTCATATGTCAGTTGTTGAGCATTTGTGTTGTTTCCAAGATTTAGCGATTGTAAACTGCTGGTGTAAACATTAATGTGCATACGTCACTGTGATATGATGCTTTTACTTGTTTTCTGAAGATACCAAGAAGTGTGGAGGTCTACTTTTTTGAGGAATTTCCACATTTATTTCCAGAGTGGTTGCACCAGTCTACACTCCCACCAACAGGGGATCAGGGATACTTTTTCCCCACAGCCTCTCCAGCATCTGTAATCGGTTGATTTCTTTCTGGAGTGAAATGGAATCCCGGTGTTGTTTTAATTTGCATCTTGAATGACCAGTGATATTAAACAATTTTTCCATGTATTCATTTGCTGTTTATACTTCTTTGTCAGAGAATTTTGTATTCATTTCAAATGTCCATTTTTAGCATAAATCTTTAAATTTGGATGGTCTGATTTTATTCAATTCATTGTGTATTCTGGATATTAATTTTTTGTCTGAGGAACCCAGACAATGGCAAAAATATTTTCCCAGGTTGTCTCTTAACTCTTTTTACGATTTCTTTTGCTGTGCAAAAGTTTTTAAATTTTTAGTGATATTTCCTGTGTGGTTTTTTTTTTTTTATGAAGTCTTTGTCTATACCTATGTCTTCAAGAGTTTGACCTATTCTCTCTTACAGGAGGTTTAGCGATTCTCTTTCATTAATTAGATCTTTGATCTATTCAATTTTAGTTTAGTGTGTGGTGAGGGATACGGGTCTAGTTTTAGTTTGGTATGTGATAAGCCAGCTTTTCATCCACTATTTATTAAATGAACTTATTTTCAATATTATGCTTGAACCATTTGTAAATATAAGATGGCTGAGTATGTTAAAGAGTCATTTTTGCCTCTGGTCTGTTCCATTGACACTGATTTTTTTATTTGTTGTTATTTTGTTTCATTTTAAAAATTTATTTTTGCTGTGTTAGTCACAATAGCTCTGCAATATAATTTAACGTCAGGGATTGTGATGCTCCCTGCCTTACTTTTGTTACCTAGGATTGCTTTTGCTATTTAGGTCTCTCCTGGATCCAAATCAATTTTAGAAAATGTTACTCTAATTCTGTGAGGTATACTATTGGTAATTTCATCAGGATTGCATTGAATCTGTATAATAATTTTTGGAATATATATGTTTTCACTGTATTGGTTATTCCTAACCCACAACAAGGGATGGGATTCCATTTTCTGATATCTGCTTTGATATTATTTTTCCAAGTACTATAGTTTTAAATGCAAAATTTTTGTTTTCTTCATTGGGTTAATTTTTTTCTTTTTCTTTTTTTTTTTTTTTTTTTTTTTTTTTTTTTTTTTTGTCTTTTTCCTTTTTATCGGTACGGGGATCGAACTCATAACTGCCTGCTTGCAAGGCAGGCACTTATGCCGCTGAGCTAAACTTCCAGCCCACATTGGATTAATTCTTAAGTATTCCTCTTTTGGGAATTCTACTGTGAAAGTGTTGTTTCTCTAATTTCTCTGAGTTTGTTATTTGTGTACAGGACTGCTATGAATTTTGTATCCAGGTATGCTACTCAGCTTAGTTATTAAATCTAAATGTGTTTCCTCAGACAATTTGGTGTCATCTATAGAGTACTGTGTCATGCACAAATAATGATTTCTTTCTTCCTGTTCTTATTCTTTAATATCTTGATCTTGTCCAATTTCTCTAGCTAATGTCTCCAGAACTATGTTGAATGGCAGTGATGACAGTTTTGCAAAATACATCAATCTGTGGTGAAGATTGTTTTCTTTCCAGACCTGAAGTACTGCATGTCAAGCTGTTTGACTTAGGGGTGTGTATTGAGAAGTCTGTGCTTATGATGGTCTTCCTGTTTAAGTGGTTTGTTTTTCTCTAACAGATTTTAATATTCTGTTCTTCTGTCAAATGTATGGAATCTTCAGTATTATGTGCCTTGCTCATAGATTTTATTTGCTTGATTTTTGTCTTTTGAGATAAGATCTTTCTTGTAAAATAAACTGGTCTTAAACTCACTATGTAGCCCAGTCTGGCTTTGAAATCACAGTGATTCTCCTCTCTCAGCCTGCAGAGTGCTGGGATTATAGGTGTGCATCACCATGCCTGATTTGGAGTAGATCTGTTTTGATCATGTATAATTGGAATTGTATATGTCTTACTTATCTGCATGTCAAACTTTTCATGTTTGGAATATTTTCTGTCATTACTTTGGTGAATAGGTATTTTATATTTTTCTCATTACTTTTTAATTGAGTGCCTTTTCATTGAGTACATTATTTTCCACATAGTACAGCAGCTTATGGATTAATTTTTTGTGTTCCCTCCTATTTTCAATAAAGTAATATTTCAATTAAAAAAATAAAAATTCTTCTGAATCTGCTATTCTGTCCTCATGTTGGCTCTTTGTGCTGCATATCCTGTCAATGGAATTGTTAATCTCCTGGACATCTATTTGAATCTGTTTCATGAATTACTTTCTTGTTTTGGGCATTCATGGTTTCCATCATTTCCCTGATATCCTCTATGTTTTTTTATGTGTATTTTTGCTGGAGTCACTAATCGTACTCTTCATTATGACCATCATATCTGAAATTATTTCAGAAATTATTTCTGACTTGCATTTTATAGCCTTATTTGTGTGTTTTGTTACTGCCACCAATACTATTTCAGAGAATCCGGTCAGGCTTTAATCATTCCACCTCATTGCCCTCTGTGTTGCCTTTAAGGTGTTGCAAATCTGGACTTGCATAAGACTGCTGTGTTTTCTCCTTTTCTAATTCTTATTTTAATTTTATTCATGCTTGTAAATTGTTTATGGTAGTTATATTTATGTACTGTGTTGAGAACCCTTAGGAAATGACTGTTTCTCAAAGATGTCCTCCAGGCATAGCTGGATTTTTGTGTCTTAATTCTGTCATAAGATCCCACTGCTTCAAATTATTGGAGATGAGAAGTTGATGCCTGTTTCACCTACTAGCCCCTGGTTCTTTGGCACTGGCTTGTAGTATTGTTTGTGATCTTCAGGCATTCTTCATCTTGGCATAAACAGAATACAAACTGATTACTCCAGTCTTTTTGCTTACCTGAAGTAATACTGAAGTGGAATGTTGCATGCTATCTCAACTATGGCCGTCTTGTCCTTGGGCATACTACGTCTCTCGGAGTCTTTAAAATGCAGAAAATTATTTTATGCAGACATCTTGGCCACTTTAAAATCTTGACAGTGATCACTGGTCAGAGGCAGATACCTTCAATTTTGCCACCCTTCATGAATTAGTGAAGTTCTGCTACTATAATGGCAACCAGAGATTCCTTATTTCCATGCCTTTTTTGCTCTCCAGGAATGTCCCTCCCTTATCCAGACATGTGAGGTAACCCAGGTCCTCTTGGCTCACCCTACACTGCCAAACCCCCTACACCCAAAAGTCTCATTTACCTTATAGATGATTGCATGCCATTCTTACTCCTCCACCATTCCCATAAGAATCTTCCCATTGTCTTTTGCCCCAATCTGCATCTCCTCCATCTTCTCTGCTGTATTCTTCTCTGTCTTTTTCTTCATCTTTTTCTCCCTACACCCCTTCTTCTGATCTCTACTGTCACCATTTTGTCCTCCATCACACCACAGCAGTACTTCTGCCACCCATCCTCCACCATCTTGTCACTTCTCCCCCTCTCTGCCATCTTATTCTTCCACTCAACTGCCACCATCTTGGTGCCTCACTCATCTGAAGACATCTTGTCATTCCTATGCATCTCCATGCTCAGAGTGTGCATCTATGTCAATGTAGAGTGGGTTTGTCCCCATCCACACTCCACGTAGAGTGAGTGGGACCAGGGTGCGGATTGGGATGATATAGTTTGGTGCCCCTGATACCAGCAACTGCCTCATCCTCCTGCCTGGAGCAGTGACCTTAAAGGCCAGCACCACAGTAATTGTTTTGGCCAAGACAGAAGAAACAGCCACAGTGAAGAGAACTGCAATTGTGGTCTTCTGGGGGATTCAGGTGGCTGTGTTGGGGTGGCCAGTGAAGAGCAAGGAACAGAAGAAGCAGGAGGCGAGGGAGATGAGCAGGGTGTAGCTGAGAGCCTGGTTGTTGGCCTTGAGAATGGGAGTGTCTCGATTCTTCACAAAAAGCCCAAGAACAGCAACTGTGAGGACACTGAGACTCAGGACTGTGCCAGCCAGCATCTTCCCCATGAGGTCTTCATAAGCAAGGAAAGTCACAGACTTTTGGAGGCAATGGTCTCGCTGTATTGTGGCATACTGGTCATCAGGACACTTCACACATTGCTCCATATCTACTGAAAAATTCAAATTGGCATTAGCTGAAGTGCATTAATTCTCCTCCATTCACTCAACCAGTCACAAAATTTCATAGGTCTTCCTAACAAAATTTGTGTAGTTTTGTTTCTGTGTCATGACTGTTTTCATTTAAAAGAGTTTTCTTTCAATTTCTAGACAAGAATCTTGAATGCAAGAACTTTGTACTCAGTTACATCAACTTTCCTTTCAAAAAATTTTAAATTTTGAAACAATCTTAATCATAGCATTGCCCAGGCTGCAGTGAAGTTTGTGATTCTTTTGTGTCAGCCTCCTGGAGTGCCTGGATACCTGCTTTGCATCAACATGCCCAGTTTTTCATTTGATTTTCTAGACACCAATCAAAGGAATGCTGTATTTACAATCCTGCCCTTTATAGTTCTATATTTTCACAGAATATAATTCATATTTTTCTCTAGCTAATGTCGGTAAATTCATGCTTTACAGATTTGTTCAGCGAATAACAACTTGAGAAGCCCTATAACTAAAATGGGGTTTGCACACTGTCCATTAGGATATGTTCTCCCACTCCATGAAAGTTTGAGGCTTACTTGAAAAATCATGTTGCAGTTTGTATAAAAATTACATAGTATATATAGAACAAATTGTAAAATGCTAACATTCTCACATTGTTTAACATTTCCATCCATGAACTTGCTTTCTTCAATTATTTCAATTTTATTATTAGACAGATTGTTTGGATTTGTACAGGAGAGTATTCTGTACTTTCAGAACACTTTTTAATTTTCTAAGTGTATCACTAATATTTTAAGATTTCTTAAGTGTGAATTTGTGTAATATCAGTTTTGAATGGGTAATGACTTACCTATAGAAATAGAATACTTTTCACTTCATATCTATCCTATAAAGGTTCAAATATTAATTTATGTGCTTTATATTTATAAACCAACACTGTATAAAATTATCCCAGATATATTCTTCTTTCCCATACTTAATTGGTTTTATATGTTTTTCTGCATGTTTTGTATCACTAAGGACATGTAGAATATCTGGTAGAAGCAGGCACAAAGAGTATTGTATTATGAATTTGGTTTCAGAATTTAACTGCAAAATGTGTGGTTTACTTTAGAGTTGTATAACTATCATTTCTACTGTACGAAGTTTCTTTCTATCCTTAATTTATTGTGTTGCTTTTTTATTTATAAACCATGGAAAGGATTTTGGCCTTTTTATGTCTTTTAAAAAATATTAATGAATGCATGTTTCCAGTACATATTGAATTCACTCACTGCAGGGAATTGGTACATGTACATAACACAAAATAATTCTTTTCCTCCTCAACTGTCCTTTTATTGTGCCAGCTTCTAATTCATTTATTTATCTTGTAAATCCTTATATATTTTATTGCTATATATACAGATTGGTCCAACACTCCTAGGACAAGTGACATATAAAACATATAAGACAACTATCCTGTCAACACTTTTTGATAAATTGTCAGTGCTGGATTACAGTAACTCTATCTCCCTTTCCTTTTTCCGCTTCATTACTTTTAATTATGATTTTATATGTTGAGTTTTTCAAATGAGAGAAACTATGCAGTATTTCCACTAATGTGTCAAATGTACTTCACTTTACATTATAGTCTCAAGGTACATCAGTTTTCATGCAAATGAGTTAAGTTTGTCTTTCTCTGTGACAGAGTAATAGTGTATGGAACTCATAGGATTTAGATATCCTGGTTACATAACTAATTGTGTCACTTTTTTACTTTCTCTAAGGGAGAAAGAACTGAAATTTCACCACTGATATATTTTTTTCAGCTCTGAATCTTCATATCAATCATTTTTTAAAATTTTGTTAGTGCCTAATAATTTTATGAAATAATAGGTTTCATTGTAATATTTTCTATGTATATATAATAAAATCTTTTCCCCAGCCTTTTGCCCCCTTACACACACTCCCACCTACTCCTTTCCCTTTCTCCAGTAACAGACTCCCTTCCACCTTACACCATCTATGTTGATGCCACATATCTGGGAAAATGAGTCATACTTCTCTGAATGAGTCTGATTTATCTCATTTACATTAGGATCTCCATTTTCATTATTGTTTTGAAAATGTCATAATTGCATTTTATTTTACATCTGAACACATTAATGTATGTATAATCCATGTCTTTATTCACTTTCTAATAACATCTTAGACTGTTTCAATATATTGGCTGCTATGCATTGTATACAATGAACATACACATAAAAATATGTCAGTAGAATGCTGACCAATTCGTTCATGTGTACACTATGGTAGTATTTTAGAGAGAGTTTCTTTTAATACATAATTCATATAAATATTTTGGAGAAATATTAAACTAGGAATCTATGCTTTTAATAGCATTGGGCCAATTTGTTTATTTTTCCTTAAAACTCTTTTGCTATTACATCAAAAGAAATCTCCAGCACAGTGAAAAGAAAACCCACAAACTGGGAAAAAATCTTAGTGAACTGCCCCTCAGACAAAGGACTTCTGTCTAAAACATATAAAGAATTAAAAAAGAGGTGGACACATGCTATCCCCTGAGCCCAGCCTGTTTGGGACTCCTGCACCTCACCATCAGTGTGCAGAGGAGGGGCTGGGCAGATCTGGGGTGCCTGCATCAGCCTCCCCATGTGTCTGGAGGACTGTGGATATCTCAGCAAGCAGGGGAGGATCGAAGCTTCCAGAGGCACCGCGGCCAGGGGTGAGTGCTCAGCACACTCTGCCCAAATTCCAGACTGTTTGGGACCCTCCAGGCTTCTGGGTGCAGTGAAGTGGAGAAGTGGGTTTGAGGCCTCTACATCTGCCTCCCCATCCCAGCTGCACTTGGAGAACTGTGGAGCTTCCAACAAGTAGGCGGGCACACGCTATCACGTGAGCCCAGCCTGTTTGGGACTCCCACACCTCACCATCGGTGTGCAGAGGAGGGGCAGGGTGGATCTGGGGTGCCTGCATCAGCCTCCCCATGTGTCTGGAGGACTGTGGATGTCTCAGCAATCAGGGGAAGATCGCAGATTCCAGAGGCACCATGGCCAGTGGTGAGTACTCAGCACACTCTGCCCAAAGCCCAGACTGTTTAGCACCCTCCAGGCTCCTGGGTGCAGTGAAGTGGAGAGGCGGGTTTGAGGCGGATATATCCGCCTCTGCATCCCAGCTGCACTTGGAGAGCTGTGGAGCTTCCAAAGGGCAGGTGGGTGCACAGTGTCCCTGAGGCCCAGCTTATCTGGAACTGCAGAGTTCTGAACAGGCAGAGGAGGGCCATTGGTTCTGCAGGCCCAGAGGCTTGGGGTAATGGGGTGCCAGAGTCTCAGGAGCTGCAAACATAGAAGGGGATTTCCAACAGACCCTGAGGAAGCTTTCAAATAACACTTGAAACACAGAAATATAGGAAAATGACAAAACGAAAGACCAAATTACAAACTCAAACCTCCAGCCCATCTCAAGAAACACTAGGAGCAATGTATATAGAAGAAAATATATCCCATCCACCTCAAATATCGGACACAATAGCTACTGAAATTAACAAGCAACTCCAGGAAGCTTTAAAGAAATTCAAACTCAAAATAATCTCCCAGGTAAAAGATGAAAGGATAAGAGAAATGAAAGAGATTCTGAATATATCTAAAGAAAACACAGTTTAAAAATTGGAGGAACTAAACAAAAAGATAGAATCCCTAGATGAGCAATATAAGAAACAAACAGAATACATAATGCAGATGCATAGAGATATACAGGAAATAAAAAACTCCACTGAAAGTTGTAAAACCCACCTTAATGAAAGTGAAGATAGAATTTCAGACCTTGAAGACAGGATTGCAGCTAGTGAACAGGAAAGGAAAGATCTTTTAAAAATAACAAGGAATGAGGAAACAACAATTCAACAACTGCAAGACAATACAAAGAAAAATAACATAAGAATGAAAGGGATTAATGAAAAAGAAGGAGACAACATAAAGGATGTCAAGAGGATATTTAGAGAAGTAATAGCTGAAAATTTCCCAAGCATGAGATCAGAAACTGACATCAGGATCAGTGAAGCACATAGAACTCCAAATAGTCATAATCAAAATAAAACTACAACCAGACATATAATAATCACCATCCCAGAAATCCAACACAAGAATAGATTATTAAAAGCTGTCAGAGAGAAAAGACAGATCACTTATAAAGGAAAACCTATCAGAATCACAGCAGACTTCTCAGCACAAACAATAAAGTCCAGAAGAGCATGGAGTGAAGTATTCCAGATCCTAAAGCAAAATGATTTCCAACCTAGACTGATGTATCCTGCAAAACTATCATTCAAAATTGATGGGGAAATATGATACTTCCATGACAAAGAACAGCTGAAGAACTTCATGAACACCAAACCAACCCTGCAAAAAATATTGAAAGACAGTTTAGATACACAAAGGAAAAACCCACTAAGCAAAGCAGATAATTAAACAGAACAGAAAGATAAAGATGTAACAGCAGAGAGATAACATTCCTACAATAAACCAGCATTTAACAGTAATAACCATTAATGTAAATGGTCTCAATGCACCAATCAAAAGAAACAGACTAGCAGCATGGATCAAGAAACAAAATCCAACCATATGCTGTTTACAGGCAAACCATCTAACCCAGAAGGATACTCACAGACTGAAAGTCAAAGAATGGAAAACAATACTTCATGCAGCAGGAATCCAAAAAAAGGCAGGAGTAGCCATTCTGTTTGCAGACAATGTGAACTTTAAACCAACAATGACCATAAAGGACAAAGAAGATCACTACATACTCATAAGGGGGAAACTCCAAGACAAAGAGATAACTATCTTAAATATATATGCACAAAACTCCAGAGCACCCAGTTATATAAAACAACTATTAACAGAAATGAAAACTCAAATTATCAGTAACACAATTGTAACAGGGGACCTCAATACACCATTGACACCAGGGGACAGATCAACCAGACAGAAAATGATCAAAGAAATAA